CCGACCTACCGACCTACCGACCTACATACCTACCTACCTACCTACCTACCTACCTACCTACCTACCTGCCTACCTGCCTACTTGCATACTTACGTACATACTTCCATACATCACTTACATCACTTTAGCACTGGCGCTCGGTTTGTGGGGACACCTCACTTACTTACATACACACTGTACATACATACATACATACATACATACATACATACATACATGCATACATACATACATACATGAAACACTGGTGTGTATAAAGCACAACAGTACTTGCATACATGCGAAAATCCAGAACGTGTTGATACATCTGGTGTAAAACTCATATACAAGTAGCAGAAACGAACTTATGAACATGTAACAGACTCGTATCACAAAACAAACAAACAAGCAAACAAACACACAACCACATGCCTGCGTCTATGTGTGTGCCTGTACACATACAAATAGACAGAGGGAGTGAGTTACATCCGTACATGCACATACACATCTGCGAATGCATATATGTATGTACATATTATATATATATATATGCATACATCTGCGCCAGACAAACGAGTAATTATGCATTCGTAGCATTAGCTCTGTGCGCACTTGGGGTGTCACCCGAGGCGGTAGCTGACGCCTGCGTATATAACGGATAACCGCTCATCTTGTGAAATCAAAGCAGAACACACCCTACAGTAAACCCCAAACCGCCGGGTACCCTGTGGTGGCCTCCAAATGCTTGGCCTGCATCTCCCGAACCTCTTTCAGCTCTGTCGCGTAGTCAGGCAAGGCATACCTTGTTGTACCAGAGCATGGAAACAAGCAGAGGAGCAGCTGGAAATTAATCAGTCCCGACTGGCGAAAAAGCATCGGCAGGCTCAAGAGAAAGCAAGGTCCAAGATGCAGGCCAGCAATGGATTCCTTTTTGTCGGGTAAACGCGCGCCGCTTATGCGCGGCTGGCGCAGGGGCAGTTTCAAATCTCCATGAATTGAAGGGCCGGAGAGCCAGCAGTCTGGTCTCCGTAGAGCAAAAAGGAGCGGTCAGGACTGGGGTTGCGAAAGGTGAAGCCACATGCGAACAGGCGTAACACAAACAGGTACATGCATACATATTGCAAGGACATGCTTCCGCTTGCACGAGTACTGTTGTTGCTTCTGTGTCTGTACATCTCTCTGAAGATCACATGCACACGTCACATACCTGAAATGCATGCATGCTTCGGAAATCTTATGGCAAAGCCCCAAGCCTGCGCATATCCAAAGCCGCACTGGCAGACTCTCTCAAGTGTGCTATGTCCGTGTCTGTGCCCTTGGCGATTTTCAGAACCCCAGAAGAAGCTCCATGCCGCGCTACGGGAGGCCAGGCTTGGATTTGGTGGGTTGTCTCTGACTTCGACCTGTACAAGGTAGGCCTATGCCCAACTCCACCCACAGGGCGTATGGGATCTAGATGAAGTCCAAGCCAAGCAAAGGGAAGGTCCATGGGCGGGGGCCCAGTATTGGCCTAACCACTCCCTCGTGTGGCAAAAGGGATGCCGGCACTGAGCCAGCTGAGGCGGCGGCGGTCCAATTAACCAAGCACGTCGCCTCATGTAAGGATTCCGCTAGACATGTTGGAATTTGAGTAGCGTAGTGACAAACTACTTAACGGATAGAAGCCTCTTCAAGGAAAGGCTTTGCCGTTTCAAGGCATGGCCCTGTCTTTTTAAAGTCCCTCACAGCTCAGAACTCAGAACTCACGCAAGTGCTGGTCGAGCTCAAGGATTCGGGCACCCCGCCCTTGCGGAGGCCCTTCTACCAGGGCCTTCCTCCAAGCCCCGTACTGCACGTCAAACTCGGATTTTGTCAAGTCGGAGCGTGGCGTCATGGGATCGCTGGGAGCCCTCCCACCTTTCTCGGCCCAATGGGCACACCACTCCCCATACTTGTAAATCGGAGCCTGCTTGACATGGAGGACTCGCTTCAGCCGCTGCCCTGAGAGCCCCGGGTCGCTGGGAACGGAAGCTCCTGGTACTCCTGGGCTCGGCTTGTTTGGGCTGCTTGGGCTCTCGAAGAGCCAGGGAGCTGGGCACTTGCCACGCCCTGACGCCCTCACGGCAGGGCCAGCTTCCAAGCGGACGTAAGCGGGCTCCAAGTCAAAGTGCTCGAGGTCCCAGTTGGGACCTCGGCTGATATTATCGGCTGATAACTGCTACCTTGGCACAAGGACGCCAATGCGGGAGCGCCTAAACTCACGAGAGTATCCAAGCGGCTGGGGCGTCGCACCTCCCCGTCCATCGCCATGCATTCTTGCAGGTTGGGAAGTGGTGGAGGGAGCGGCAAAGTCCACGGACTGGACGCCTGGCTCCTTAGCCCAAATAGTGAGAGCGCATCTTACGAGAAGCTAAACTTCCAGACATGGTTCCGCAGCTTACAAGACTGCAATTGAGATGCCGCGACTTGGGCGCTATCGTCTCCTAATAAATACGAGTAAATGGTCTTTGGCACATCGGCATCCAAGGTTCATCTTCTCGGGCAAAGCACTTGGCGGATGCACCTCTTGATCTCGACCACGGAGTAGGTCCAAGCGGTTCAAGTGGCTCTGGCTCCACCAAGGCATGGGGATCTCGACCACTTCGACAAGCATGTCAGCGGCCGGTCGTGATTGCATAGCTTCACCCAAGCACTCGAGCCAGGAACGAACAACAACACTAACTTAGATCTAGAGTGTCAGCTGCTGTGATGCCTCAGTCGAACACGGAAGCCTGACTCCACGCAAAGTCAAGTCGCATGTCACAGGGCGTGCAGTCATCGTCGGGGCAGAGCCACCCAGTCTGCGGCCCCACCTCCGCGGATCGACAATCTGTAGACAAATGGGACTTTCCGAAAATAGGGGGTACCTTATGTTGGGGTCCTTATAATGGGGATCCTACTATTTAAGGTGCTATATTAGGGTCCCCCATTTTCGGAAACCCCCAAATAACAGTCATCGCGGTTGAAGCACGAATAAGAACCATAATAAGATGTACTAATAGTAGTAGCAATAACAGCAACAATATTGATTATGGCAAACAAACATGATCGTAATAATAGCAACGGCGCTAGTAGTCAATAAATACGTATGTATAAACAGATACATATATATATATATATATAATTGTACAGCCTACGGTAGAAAGAACTTTTCCTAAGCTCAGTCTTGAAAGGCAAAATCGCGAATCACGTGAAGCTACAACCTCCATGGCTTCCAAGCAATAAGCCAGATCTACTTCACAACACACAAGCCGAGAGCCACCACAAATTCTGACCACCGCACATGACAAGTAAACGTTCTCCGCAGCCTTGCATTGAGGCTGGGTGGTGTCCTTCTCAAGTAAGATTTCACATCGCAAGGAGGGCCTTCGCTCAACCCTTTCCGAGGGCGGAAACCTTCCCTAAACTTCGACCTTGCCGTCAGTTCAGTTGCCTCCCTTGTGAAGCTCCATCGGTTTCGGTTTCAGATGCCAGGTGCTGCGATTCTGCGGTATGAGACATGCGAGGCTAGACGACCAGAAAGATGTTCCACGATCACATCGTACGGTATGTGGGTGCCGTGGAGAAGGGCTCCGATTATCCAACTGTGCTGCTTTTGCATAAATGGGATCCTCATATTCCAGATGCGGCAAGTATCTGCAAACGTGTGTGCGAATGCTGACTTCCAACATGGGGGCTAGCTTTCGGTGCAGCGCCCGAGTGTGGTTCAACTCCTGCGATGTGACACCGCGACACATTCAACTGACACAGTTTGCCATGCTTCGGCCGTCAGGCTGCAACCCCACATAGACACGAGCCGCCATTTAGATGTGTTCAGTACGTCCAACGGGTCCTCCTTCTTGTGATGGAAATGCTTGGGGTTCGCGGCGTCCCATCCTGGAAAGCAAGATGAGAAAGAATCATTTAACAACTCTTTGGCTCAGGCTTGTCACTTGTGTTTAAGGCTCCTTTCTGCAACTCGAATAGTTTTGCGAGTCGAATCCACGAGAGGACACAGCTCTGCCGGGCCTCGTGCCCCCTTTTGGAGTCGGTTGCCATAGCGGCTGCCACCCCAGCCGACGCAAGGCATGTCCTCAGCTCAGTTCAGATATAAATAAGTATATATATACACACACATAGACAGCAGAAGAGAAAGATAGAGAGAGAGAGAAAGACGCAAAGATATGAAGATGTGCGGGCGGGTCTCAACAAACTAGTCGGAGCACCCACACTCAAAATGAGACATTTCGAAATCAAGAAGCACAAACTTAAACCCTGAACCTAATGCCCCTGCCGTTCAGTAGGATCCACGCTCTTGATGCTGCTCAGCCACTTCTTCCTCGGACCAGTTTTTTTGTTTCTTCTTCAATTTTCGCGCTGCCTTGCCTGGAAGCGTTGCCATTAGAGCGTGTCCGTATGGTTAGGGGTTACAAGGGGTGTAGTGTTTAAGGCTTGCTACCTACATGAATATTTTGGGTTACAAAAACCTGAGTAGTAACCCACTATTCAGGTAACTGGGCCCCATAGAAATGGTAGTCTGCGTGTTTGCAGCAGAATGCTAGCACCCCGCACACGGGTTTCCTTAAACAAAGACAAGGCTCTCACTGTGCCAACAGCATGACTAGCGAACGCGAGCTGCTGCGTTTGCAATATGGAGGGAAAGAGGAATCAGAATAGTCACAGTATGAATCGCACTAGCTCAGCAACAATGGATCTCAAACCCATCGCGAGAATTGTGCGACCATCCGGTGAGAAAGTCAGAATTTGGCTAGGTGACTAGGGGGATTCGTGATCTGCTGTCACGGTCTAGCCTAGCCGAAGGCCTTCTTTAGCCCCAGTCTTCGGCCAAAGGGCAAGGAGAGGCCATGTGGTTCATGAGGATGTCCACAATCACCTGGACGCCCACAGAGCGGCAAGTGGCCACCATCGCCCTGCAGCAACAGCGATGAGAAGCAGGACTGATAGATCAACCCTCAACACATCGAACCAAACAAGGTTGACCGCCAAGACCCCCAAGCTATCCTAAACCCAAACCGAGACGCTGACCCGGCCTGAATTCCGCTTCCGTTCCCGAGCGTGTGTCTAGACCGGCGGAAACGGGCTGATATTTTACCCACCACTGGTAGCCCAGTACCTCGAAGGCGTCGGGGGAGGTTCGAAGGATTTTTTCTGCACAGCCGCGCAGGGTGATGTGAATCATGCACTAGCAACGGCCAGTCTGCATTTGACTGCATTCGGCGGTGAGAGTTACCGCCGTTGCATCAAGCAACGGCCAAAGCACCTCCCTAACAAAGGGTGCTGAAACAAATGTTTGGAAAGTCGCGAAAACCTGTGGTCCCTGTGGTGGAGCTTCTGAGGTGCATGAACCTGGCATTCCCTGCACCCAACCCGAGAGCGCCAAAATCCTGAACTGAAGGTGACTTGGCTAACACAGCCCAGGCGCATGTTCAGTGACAGGCGCCACTTGGACAGCGTCGAAGCCATTGGGAGCCAGGTATTCCTTGCGGTCTGAACACTTAGAAGCATGCCGCGCAAACAGACTTTTCATGTGCACTGAATTTCTAGCCGATTCTACCGTCAGTTTTTCCTACACTGTCTAGTGGTTGATTTATCAACATGAGATGCAGACATGTAATTACTACGCTTACCACACTACACCCTAGGATGCAATGTGTCTGTAGCGTCCCCGACAGCATGCCAACATGCTTAGAATTTTCGAATTCATGCCGACTCGCACGCAGCCAGCGTAACACCATGTCATGCCGCGAGCTTAAACGGGCAGTACAGTCAGGTGCATTGCCAAGGATCCACACACTCCTTGGCAATGTCGTTGTAGTTCCACTCCATCCTTGGTTGCTTCCGCGCCTTGCAACTCCCCAACAGACGTTCACCAAACCTCATTGAAGCCGAAAGTGTCAAGTTTGGTCAAGGAGCAATTTCACGAAGACGGTGGACCTTACCTCCTCACCATGGAGGCCACCTTTGCCCGGCTGATATCCGCAGAACCTGCTGACGACGGCGGCGTGGTCGTTCCTTTGGCTCAGACGCCGCTGGGTGAGCCCTTCCGTGCCTTCGCATGCTGTAGAAGTCCAAACCTGCTTGGTCTCAAAGCCACAGGTGCTGCAGCCAGGGCAGCTTTTGGCCTGGACTTCTGTGCACAGCTCCAGGCTCTGAGCTTGGCAGACCGCCTCTGCCTCGGAATAGTTCTTCCTCTCGTGGCACCCATACTGGTCTTCACTGGCCACCGAACCATCGCTGGAGCAGCATCGGACCGCGGCTTGCTCGGCAGGCCTAGCGCACACTGAGTGGCTGACTTCATCTGACACTGTCTTGTGAAACTGCAGGTTCTCGAATCCATCGTGTCGGCTGCGGTTCACAAGTTCCAACATGGTGGCAGAGGCCGCATTGGCGGCTACAGATCCACCGCTCCCTTCTGATACGTATTTGCTGTGAAAGCTGCGCAGCGAGACCTTGCCGCCGTCATGCTTCACAAGATCAAACTCCTCCCAGTCATCCCAGGCCTCTGTCACCGCCGAAAGATGACCACTCGGTTCTGCTTTCACGAACCGGTCGTTCTGTGCTTTGAGAACGAACTTGCCGTTTTCCGCCGGCATGAGTAAGAAGAGGGCCTCGGGCACAAAGGTTTCCTCCTCAGCCTTCATGGCTCCGTCTTCCTCTGCTGTGATGTAGTGGCCATTGGCAGTTTTGAAAGTTACCTCGAATGCGCGACAGACTCCGCTAGGATTTGACTCAAAAGACCCCAAGAGCCTCTACAGCTTTGCCCACTTGGGGGCTGTGAGAGCATCCGTGAGCACAACGAACACCACTCCAATCCCCGTTTCTATCAATCTAGACTTCGCCAAACCTTCACATCCTCGATCGAACTCTGACATCCTTTCTCTACGCGCTCTGCGGTTCCGGGCGCAGCATATGGGGACTCGGAGAGGCCACCGCCAGGTCCAGATGACATCCGAACTCGGGCGAGTGTGGAGCAGTGCCAGAGTTCACACCTTGCGGTCGCTGTTGAGTCGCTGAGAGCAGTCTTCAATAAAGGAACTGCCAAATTCAGAGGAAGAAAGTAAGATTGAGAATTAGGGCGGTTCCCATTGCAAGCCAGGACCAATGGTCGAATTCTCCCCGTCCCGCATCTACAAGCAAGGGAACCAGACAGAAGGAGCCAAAGCTGCTACTGGTAGCAGCCCGCAGCTAACACAACAGCAACAGCAGCAGCCCATCTACCATCAGGAGCGCGCAAGCAATGACATCCAACAACGACTAGGCCTAGGCGATAGAATAAGAATGAGCGCCATCACCACTACCATTATGAATACCAGCATCACTCACGACACCTCGTCAGCATGGACACCTCCAAAAACGAACCAAGAGGGATTCCAACAGTTACTTGCAACAGAACGTACTAAACATAGACACATATATGCACATTTGTTTATATGTAATTATCGCATCTTGCATATGATTATATCCGAACAAAGGTAGCTACGATCCCTCGGAGTCATGTTCATTAATTCATCCATCCATGCCTTATTTCTTTCATGTCGTCCATTCCTCCATTCTTCCATTCCTTCATTCCTTCGTTCCTCATTCATTCATAAGTTCAGAAATTAATTCATCCATTCATTGGTGCGTTCATTCATGCATTCATTCGTTTCATTTCATCCAACTCCATTTCATTCATTTATTCATTCATTCATTCATTCATTCATTCATTCATTCATTCATTCATTCATTCAATTCCATGACATTTCATTTCATTCATTCGTTCATTCATTCGTTCATGCATTCATCCATTCATTCATTTCATGTCATTCTATTCCATTCCATTCCATTCCATTTCATTCCATTCCATTCCATTCCATTTCATTCCATTCCATTCCATTCCATTCCATTCCATTCCATTCATTCCATCTGTTCGGCTCATTGGTTCCTTCATGCAGTGACTCATTCATATTCATGTATTTTTTTACTGTTTAGAAGTCATGATACATGTAGTAACATATGGCAACCCAGTGACAGAAAAGAAGAGTGTGGTGACAAACGTAGCAGCCCAGCGACCGGCCGAGGGAGTGGACAAGGGTGTCTGCCTGGCAGAGCTGTTTATCTCACCCTTAGCATGTCCTACCTAGTTGTTGAAGTTTATGACGGTGATCTATGACTTCGATACCTTATACTAGACCTCGGTTACCTTTGAAGGATACAACTGCACGGATGCGGAACACAGATGTCAGGTTTACGGGTCATGGCGCTGCAAGCAGTGTGGCTTAAACATGCGGAACCAGGCGTTTCACAGAGTGGTTAAGTTCGGTCGCGGGATGCATGGCATACCAGTATGGCAGTGTGATCCGCGAAGCATGGCCAGCATCCTGTGGGTAGCAGACTGCAGTTGGATCTGTTCTGAAGGCAAGAATAGCATTCATAGAAAAGATTGCAAGCCCTTGCGCTGCATTTCGAAACATGGCGAAGCGATCTTTATTCTTCCGAATACTGGGAAATACAAGGCGCGAATCGTGTGACCACGCGCCTCCGACACATTGCGAAGCTTCTTCAAGCAAGCATGGCGGCCGGCTGTCTCCTGCGGAACTTACGATGTCTGCACTTGCCGAGTAGAAGGAAAAGTAGGGAGGCCGAATCAAGCTGTCAGGTTCGGGCTGATTCGCTTTCATCGCTTTCACGGCGACTGCTCCTGCCCATTCTCGCCCAAATCATACCTGACACTGGACATGTCGAGCAGACGGCAGGAAGCTTCAACGCTGCAGATACCATGGGCTTACAACCCCTAGCGTACGCTTGGAGATTTCTCCCGCTTCGAGACCAAAGGAAGCCCAGGCAGGGCCCTTCGAGTCTTTGACCGGCAACACCGCGACTTCGAGGAAGGTCATGGTTCACGGGTCGCTGGAAAGAATCAACACAGCAACAGCTTAAAGATACGTCACTTCCGAGAAAGCTGTACATCCAAAATTTGTGCTGCCTTTCCGGTCGCTGAGCGGGGACAAAAATCACAAGTGAGCCGAAAGGCTCCGTGCCCTCGGCGACCTCGAGGAGCTTGCAGCCGGAGCCTTCCACCAGTGGCTCCTCGCGAGCTCTGGGCGCCGTGATGTGTACTTCAGCGGGTACCATACAGGGTTCAGGGGAGGCAGCGCATTACTGAGAAGAGCCGTACGGGTATTTCGATGGCGCACAGCAGAGCTCTCATGTGACAATTGGTTCTGCAGCAGGCCTTGCTACCTTCTCGCCGACTGAAAGCGAGAAGCACGCTAGAGAGTTCGAGTAAATTCCCAATAAACAACGTGCAGTAGTTCGTGCGGTCATCCTTGCATGCTTGAGCTTGGCCTTTGCAGACTTTCAAAAAGATCCCTGCGGCTCCAGCTGGCAGTTTCGAAAAGCAGACAGCGGCTCGGGTGTCGTGGTCGTAGTAGTCGTCGGCCCTGCGGTCGTGCTCTTCCTCAGCGAAAATTAGCTTCTTACAAATACTAAGATCTGAGAGGATCGCCATGACTTTGCCTTTGCCAAACTTACCGAAACCGAGCGAAGAAGGCGTGTAGCAGACGCAGCTGGGAATCCTCCGCTCCGTACCCATAGGCCCCATGGTAGTTCCTTTTTGGGATCACCTTATAGGATTCTACATATGAACCCCAAAATGGAACTACTATGGGCCCTATGGGTATCTTTCAGTCTTCCGAGGATCGTCGTCTCCCCGGGAGAGGTCGAGGCTTGGCTCGTGGAGGAAGGCGCGGCCGTGGTGAAATTCTCCTCAGGCCACAGGCCAGAGGCGCTCTGAGCCGTGAATGGTTTAGGGTTTAGGGTTTAGGGTTTTGCTTTTTCCTATCACCTCTTTTCCTTGGCCTCAGGGGTCCGGAATACCATGTTGGTGGAGGCATAGGGAAGGGAGCCTGGGATGCACACCGAGGGGATTCGCCACCTACACCACTAACTTCCCCGTACCGCTTGATTTCCAGGCCGTTGCTTCTCTTCTCTCACTCCAAACCTTTAACTTTAACTCATGGCCCCGGTCTCCGTGCCGGCGGGGACGAAGTGCCATCTCTGATTGGTGATCGCCTCGTCGCAGGTCCACATGTGCACACCACTCCCCACGTCCTGACCAGGGATGAGCTCAACTCCAAGCCCCCTCCAACTTCCGTAGCTGGACTGCAGACGGAGAATGCAAACAGGAACTGAGGCCTGGAATACACCGGAAGCCCCAATCAAAATTGCATCCTTGAAAGAAGCTCAGGACACCCTCACATTCTATGAACGATCTGCCCGTCGGCCGGCCTGTGGACGGGGTGCGTCCAGGCAAATGCCATATTTGTTCTTCACCCTGCCAGTGTTGCCAGAATCCCACTCCCACATCTGGTTCGGGTTGCCTCGGATTTGGGCACAACGGCTCGGGACAGATCCATTTGCGCATGTTTGCCTTTCCTTACCTCTGAACCACGTCAGCGGCCTGCAGCAGCAGCAACACTAGAGCTACTGCCTGCGACGATCGCAGTCGTCGCAATAGCCGCACGAGAAGCGGTTCTGTAGTGGACAAGTTAGCAGTTAGCAGCAGCAGTGGGACGAGGCGAAGGAGGAGGAGCAGGAGGAGGAGTGGTGGTACCTTTTTCCGTCCCTAAGACAAGCTGAAGTGGAAATGTGCTAGTACCACTGTGCTATTCTTTGACCCTGTGGTTTCGCTGTAGTACACAACAAACAACAGCAGCAGCCGCAGCAGCAGCAGCAGCAGCAGCGACAACGACAACGACAACCACAACCACCAACCACCAACAACAACCACCAACCACCAACCACCAACCACCAACCACCAATCACCAACCACCAACCACCAACCACCACCACCACCACCACCAACAACAACAGCAACAGCAACAGCATCAGCAACAGCAACAGCAACAGCCACAGCCACAGCCACGGCAACAGCAACAACAACAACAACCACCACCACCACCACCACCACCACAACAACAACAACACCAACAACAACACCAACAACAACAACAACAACAACAACAACAACAACAACAACCAACAACAACAAC